TATTACAGAGATTAAGGGATCAAACGGGGGTTGCTGGATGGGAAATTTAATTCTCTATTGAACAGCGTTGGTTTCATTCCTTAATATTAATTAGGAGGGGAGAGACGATTTTTTAATTGGCGGGCGAGTTATCCATCAAGTTTTTCATAGCGCCGTAAATTGCGTCGCAGTTTTTAATTTTCTATTACACAGATTAAGGGATCAAACGGGAGTTGCTGGATGGGGAATTCAATTCTTTAACCAACAGCGTTGGTTTCATTTCTTAATGTTAATTAGGGGGGGAGAGACGATTTTTTAATTACCGGGCGAATTATCGGGAGTCACTGCGCCGAGAAACCATTAGCTTTTGCACAGCGCCGCGACTTTCGTCGCAGTTTTTATTTTTTGATTACAGAGATTAAGGGATGAATCGGAGGTTGCTGTATGGGGAATTTAATTCTCCATCGAAGAGCATTGGTTTCATTCCTCAATGGTAATTGTGAGGGGCGAGACGATTTTTTAATTGGCGGGCGAGTTATCCATTAAGTTTTCCATAGCGCCGTAAATTGCGTCGCAGTTTTTAATTTTCTATTACAGAGATTATTAAGGGATGAAACGGGGGTTGCTGGATGGGGACTTTAATTCTCCATCGAACAGCGTTGGTTTCATTCCTTAATGTTAATAACGAGGGGAGAGACGATTTTTTAATTGGCGGGCGAATTATTGGGGTGGCACTCTGCGCCGAGAAACCATTGGGTTTCTCATAGCACCGTGACTTTCGTTGCAGTTTTAATTTTTTTATAACAAAGATTAAGGGATGAAACGGGGGTTGATAGATGGGGAATCTATTCTCCATCGAAAAGTCCTCGTCTCATCCCTTAATATTAATTAGCGGGCGAATGAATCAACGGAAAAACATAAAGTAAACATGAGGGCAAGGAGGACATAAATCCCCCTTCGAACCTACCCCTGTGACAGCGGGACTGCTATAGGGCTTCTAGCAGATGTTTTCCCTGCCCAGGATACTCCCACTCTACGTAATTCCCACTCATATGCTTGTCCCCCACTCCAAAAATCCATGGATATTCTTCTCCTGGCCCTACTGCCGAGTTACCGGCACAGGCTGCTCGCCCAGCCGTTAGAATCGACCGTGGCGCCCCACCTCTGTTGGGGTCTCACTTATTCTGGCTGCGACTCCTGTCGACTTGACCAACCCCGTTGTGATATCGACACTGCCGCCATCTCCCGGCATTCCCCCTACGGGTCTTGTATTATCATTATATACACTCACATTAATTTCAATCAATTGATAGAAAACAATGTTATAAACAGTGCAAATATGCACTAATAATTCGTCTATCCACTTTTATTGTGTTTTCAGATATCATTTCCCCCTTTTTAGCCCCAGAAAATGACAATCGTAATAGCCACGCGACAGCCACGCAAATACCGTGGCTGTAGCGTGTCTCCTGGATTCCCAGGGCACTCACATTATTTTCAATCAATTGATAGAAAACAATGTTATAAACAGTGCAAATATAAACTAATAATTCGTCTATCCACGTTTATTGTGTTTTCAGATATCATTTCCCCCTTTTTAGCTCCAGACAATGACAATCCTTTTAGCCACGTAACAGCCACGCAAGTACCGTGGCTCCTGGATCACCAGGGAACCTAAAAAATCACTTACCGAAACTCTCATACTATATTTGCAAGAAGCAAAATATCCTTCATCACTTAAAATTTTGATAAAGAATCGGAAGGAAGGAGAATGAGAATGGGAATATTACCTCCAGGAAAAAAAAATCACTTTTATCATTTAAACTGATAGTACATCTCAGAATTTTTATTTAATTCTATCTATTAATTATAGAGTGGAAGAATTCTGCCCGAAGTAGACCCAGTCAATATTCATGTCATAAACAAAATTTAATGTGATATACGCAGGTACACCAAATTCACGCGAAAAAATTTTGTTTCCTGTGCTTGATATGGTCAACCCCACAGGGCCTCTTCCATTTCTCATAAAATGGTGTAAAGCAGACCGAATTTTTATCGTCGGTTCCTTCATAATACATTTGTTTTTCTCTGCAGGAGCTTTCATATGAAGCATCTGAGAATTTATAATTTTTTCAATATAGAGGCCATGAGCATTGATTTTACCTCTTCCCTTGCGTAATATGCCACGTTTTCTAATTTTTCTGTGTTTTTTATCACGTCTACTCCTGCATGGTCCAGAGAGTCCTTGCTCTTCTATGGATTTCCTCTTGACAGCAGCTATAAAGTAAAAATATAACCATACAACAAATCATTTCTTGAGATGAAGAAACATGAATAAAAAATACCTGATGGATGTGCATTTCCTTCATTATGTTGAGGTCCTGGGCTTTCCGAAATCATCCCCACACAATTTTTGCTTCCATTGGTTGGAGATTCATTCGGAATTTGCAGTTTCTCTGAAATCACATCTGCATCAAGTGCTTCTTGGGATTTTATGTCTTTTTCGGAAGCTAAAAAAATTAACAGTTGTTGATAAGGGGAGATCGCGATAACTGGCACACCAAGTTTTTCGTAATTGTGCTGATGATAATGTATCCCAATCTTTTGCGATCATCGAAGCTAACACATACCTTCCGCAGGTGTGGGCCAGTCTTTCGGATCAAAGTTGATAATTTGTTCAGTGGGGGGAGATTTTTCTTCAAAAAAACTAGATACATCGATACTTTCTGCGAATGAAATTATAACAGTCATTATATATTATTCACAAAAAAAATACTTCAACATTTTCGACATAATCGACGGCGCATACCTGGCAAATACCTTGTTGGAATAGCACTAGTACTCAATTTCTTGGGGAAGAAATATTTGTCTTCGAAATGAACTTGACAAATTGTTTTCTTCCTATTTCATCAATTCCAAGTTTTAATAAATCCTTGTTCCCTGCCAAAGACAACCAAATGCGCAAACGTTTGTCATCCTTATTTGAAAATCGAAAAAAACGTATTGCATTTGCTGTGCATCCAGGTATGACACACACGCACATGATTGTCCTACACTAAAAAGACAAAAAATTATAACATTGAAGTCTAATTGAAACGAAAAATTTATATGTTGAATTATCAAGAAAGCTAATCTGCTAAATTCTGAAGGAGCTCGTCTAATTAACTAATTTATGACAAGCAGTGCAGACTTTTATTATTATTGCTTCTTCTGAAGTAAATTCATTGCATTGTCTGACTATTTTTTAATTATGCAGCTCACATACCGTGTTTCAGTGGTTCAGCAAATATTAATAATGCTCTTTCGACTTGCATCATCCAATTTACAATACACAATTGATTAATTAATTGTAATTCATTGCGGAATATATATACGGGCTGTTTGGTTCGATTTCAAATTTGAATATCTTCATAACAAACATGGAGGGCCTCTGCTGACAACCCCCACCATTCATCTACAGCGCTCCAAGTGGTCGATTCTGGCGAAATCGTATCCACGAGAATAACACGGGAGCTTGACCCCTCTGAATGCCCCTGGCTTCTAAAGCTGGTAATCTCCCCTATAATCTCTGCTTCGCGTGTTACAAAAAAAATGTTTCAATACGCAAAAAAAAAAAATTAGAAGAAAAAAATTGTGAAAATGTTCAATTAAATTGTCAAGGATAACTATTAAAATTATAATAAAAATGGCCAACAGGAATCACAATATCTCCAACGCTCGTGTCACTGCAGATGAACACAGTGTCGAGGTTAGAATTTTTTGAAATTTTTTTCCAACATTCTCTTTGGCATTAAAGTATCAAGAAATTCAATTAATCCCTCAAAATTGAGTTAGAAACGCAAAATGAATGTCAAACGCTACCAAGTCTGGTGGAAAAATAGTTGCAAGAGAGAACGAATGTTTTCTCGAGTTATTAAATGAAAAAAATGGTTCATCCATTAGAAAATAAGTAAATACTACAAACCAATTGATTGATAGAAGAACAATATTGAGAGAAAGATAAAGCAAAAGCATCTATGAATTGCAATAATAATCTCCGGGTCAGAATATTATTTCCCAATTTCGCATTCATTTTCAATGTTTAAAGCTTGAAACAACTTAAACAAAATTATATTGAGATCGGAACCAATTTTTTAAATAATACAAATAATTCGACAATAATTGTCCATTGATTTATGAAACTCACAAACAACATAAATTAAAAATGGAAATTAAAGTGACTGAATAATAGGTTTTCGCTTTTTTTCAGTCACTGGCTGAAGTGTTTAGATGTTTCATTTGCATGGAAAAGTTGCGAGATGCACATTTGTGCCCTCACTGCAGTAAATTGTGTTGTTACACATGCATACGAAGATGGTTAACAGAACAGAGATCTCAGTGTCCCCATTGTCGTGCCTCTTTGCATTTGCACGAGTTGGTAAATTGTCGGTGGGTGGAGGAGGTTACGCAGCAGTTGGATACACTCCAAGCCACTGGATTAACAAATCCAAGATTCGATGAGTCACGAGATAGGTGAGGAGAGATGGAGACAAATAAAACTCATGAATTTATGGAAATTGTTCATTTTTAAGTTACGAGGTCGAATGCGCGCTCCGCACATATATCAATACGATAGGTCGCTCACAACAATTAATTGTCCTCATTGTCAATATAATATAATCCTCCATTCTAATACAATGCACATTAATCAGGAGGGTGGAGATTGAATAATTGACACCAATTTTTGCGTAATATTTCGAACGGAAAATCAAACAATTTGTCTCCTTTTCAATAAAGATAGTAACAAACATATCCGCATCATCATGACCTGATATTATGTTATGTGTCCTGATGTTTTAACAATTCATTACTGCGAAACCGCGAAAAAATTCCGAAGAAATAAACGTGTGACACATTTTGGCCATCGCCTTTTATTATAGAGAATAGGGAGTGACAAAGTGGTAAAATGTCAGAGAACCTGTCGATTTCTCACATTTCTTTGGAAGTGACTCTATTTCGATAAAACATTGTTTTGAGGGAACGTAGCTAAAGCTGATAAAATTCTCAACTAAAAGCCTCCTTGATATTTTCTTCTAAAAATCACTCAATACCAACATCCAGAAAAAAACAAAAACCTCGGAATTGACTTTTCACAATTTGTGGTCTTTCCCTCTTATCTGAAGTGAATTATCTTGGTAATAAGTCGTTATAAGGGGGCATTCATTAAACTCTTTTTTGGTGCAAATGTTGCCAGCTATAAAAAAGGTATTCTGACATTTTCAAATCACTTATTGTTTGAAATCAAAATAGGTATAATCGAATTTAAATTGATTTCCAGTATTGAAATAAGAAAAATTCACATTTGCAGGTGTTCAGTGCATAGAGAAAAATTGTCAGTTTATTGTTGGACCTGTGGCCGATGTATCTGTCATCAATGTGCCCTTTGGGGTGGCACTCACTCCGGACACACTTTCAAACCCCTCGAGGAGGTCTACGAACAACATGTAACACAAATTAGTGGAGAAGTTGGTCAATTGAAAAGGAGACTCATGGAACTCGTCAGTTTGGTTCAGGAAGTGGTAAGTTGATGTATCCTCCATTTTGTTCTATTTATTTCATGTGAATTTCAGTAATTATGATATCAAAATTCTTAACAAAAAATGTCTCTTGATACTCTGTCCTGAATCCACTCATTACCGAGATAGTTCAATACTGAGTGAGACATTTAGGAGGAACGTGGCTTATTGCATTCCTAAAATACCCCTTATTTTCAACGATCCCCGGAATGACATAACCCAGGTTCCTCCGTACATTTACGAAGAAAAATCGAACTTTTGTTATAACGGAAAATAATATGGGTACTTAGGAAGGAAAACAGGACTTCAAAACCCGCGTGTTTACCATCGCAATCCAGTTTTCTCCTCTTGGTGCACAATATACTTTATTATTTGTTTATCTTGAAACCAAGTAATTCTAGGAGGAAATCTCACTAGACCTTTTTTATAACTAAGAAAATAGATGAAAAAGACGTTAAACATTTTATTTTCAAACTTCTAGTTATTAAGATCAGTCAATGACAAACATGCAGAAAACTGACTAGATCTATCCATTTACGTTTGGCCACTTCCCTACAATAATATAAATAAAAAGTCTCAATCCATTTAATTAGGAACGCAACGTAGAGTGTGTACGAGCAGCGAAAGATGAACGAGTCCGTGAAATAAGAAATGCAGTTGAACTAATGATAGCTCGCCTAGACTCTCAGCTCAAGGCCAAACTTCTGACCCTGATGGGCCAAAAAAACTCATTAACATTAGAGTCAGAGCAGCTCGAGGCTCTTCTCCAAGAAATTGAGCATCAACTGCACACGTGTACAAGGTCAGAGCTCATACTTAAGAGCTCCGAATTATCTAGGATGATTCATCAGGTTAGAAAGAAGCCAATGACCAGTTTTGTAACCGCTCCAGTGCCAGCTGACTTCCACAGTGAAATTGTCCCCGGTTATGATTCAGCAACATTTGTCATGCAAAATTTTACCCAATTGCAACTGAAAGCAGATCCTGTTTATTCGGCGCCACTCCACGTCAATGGCCTATGCTGGAGGCTTAAGGTTTATCCAGATGGAAATGGCGTTGTCAGGGGCAATTATCTCTCGGTTTTTCTGGAGCTGAGTGCTGGACTTCCAGAAACTTCCAAGTGAGTTTTTTTGAGAGGATTATATATCTATATAATTTCCACACCGCTTCATTTTTATTTCCATTTTTCGAATCTTCTAGCAAGTAAATTATCGATTGGAAAATGATTTCCATGAATGTCCGTGTATAAAATAAAACTTTGGGGGCATTCAAATATTACGGCACATGATTAGGGGTAGGGTTACAAAGATCACAATGGGTCACAATGGTAAAAAAAAGGAGACACAACGGTCACTAGGATCTAGACTTTTTTTCCGGATCTTTTTTGGCCACAGGTTTTTTTTCCAAAAATTTTATTGCAAAAAATGTGCGGAGAGAAATTGTTACGTCCCAAATGGTTTACACTCAATTGTCTGTTGAATAAATTTGAGGAATAGTTAAATTGACCCTTTGGTCGGTAACTCCAGGTGTTGAGGGAAACTATCTCCTTAGGTAGGTTCCACTAATCAACTACTACGCGCAGTTGACCAATCAAGACACGATTTAGAGTGTTTCGTTTAATGAGATTTATTTAATAACAATAACACTTGGTTTTATTACACTGTTTCATTATTGTAGGTTCAGGGTTTTTTTTAAGTGACCCTTGTAGGTTGACGGTTAGTAATGTTTAAATGTTCTTTTGTTTTGGTTTATTTTATGATTCGACTTCTATTTAATTAAACTGATATTTGTGATTAAGTCCCGAACACTTTGAATTTAGACTTTGGATATTTGGAGTTGAAATATTCACTGAGACTTTACTTGGACTTGAAGTTTCACTTTAAGATTTTTAGAGAAGTTATTCCTTTCTCTTTGACCGTGGATATAGAAGTGATTTTACTAAGATGAGATTTGAATATCTTAGGGCTGCTTAGGGCTCACGCGTGGGCATACACGCTCTAGTTTCTGAGGGTAGGATTGGTTTATCAGGGATGGTGGTGAGGAGAGAGGCGAACCGATTGGTTTTAGGTCAATCGGGGGGCCTCGAAAGTCGTGATTGGATTAGGAGCAATTAAGGGTGCAGCTGCATTTTACTCTTGAGAAAAATTCTGTTCTCACGGAACGTTAGAATTTGGAAAACATCATTTGACACTTATAATCTTCGGGTTTCTTGGTTTCGCCGTGTTCGGTTTACAATTTCAGGATGCTAGTGCTTATCTTAAAGATCTAGTTAGTTCTTTTTCATGTTTTTGGATAATTTATTATGCACGTGTGCATACGAGTGGTTTTCGGTTTCGTTTCAAATGTGGGAAAGCTAGTTTTATGATTTTCTCAGGAAAAAGTGGTCTGGACACTTGAGTGTTATCTCCGTTTGAAACTAAATAATATTCTAATTTAGTTCGTTTGAAAAAATATAATTGGGAATTGGGACTTATATACTAATTGTGGGTAAGACTCGACAGTCGATAAGGTAAATGGAAAATTGAGCTAGCGCCATCAGGTGGCTAATGGTAGGGACGTAACAAAATGCCCCGGAAAAAAGGCTGGACCTCAGCGACCCTCGTGACTCTTGCGATTCTTTTCTTCTTATCCTTGTGATCTTAATGACCCCCCTCCCCTCCTCCTTAAATCACCCCTACTACCATGTCTCCAAGATTCCATATTATTAAAATTTATTTGAAGCAAGCATGAAGAATAGAGACCTATTTTTGTAAAAAAACTGCGCCAAGAAATAGTTTAGTTATCTTACTCGAAAGCTTAAATTTTAAAGAAATAAAAATAAATGAAAAAGAAAGCCACGTTACCAATCTCAAATAAATGGGTATAGTACACGATCAGATTTCTGTAAGAAAAATCGTTCTCAATATAAAAAGAATTATTAAAAAATCCGGTAACAGTGCAGCACACGTGAGTTTATTATTTAAATATTTATAAATTGCACTATATTCACTATTTAGATAAATTGATGGGTTTCCTGATGTGTAACCTTTTAAGTATGATTTGTAGAATCCAAAGGCGGATAGTGGAACTCATCTAAGTCGACTTGTAGAAGCTCAAACCTCTCGATCGTCTGACAACATCAAACCAACCTTTCAGAAACTCCCCAATCATGCACGGAAACCTATTTCTTTAGACACTGCGATCCTAATACCAAATTTTTCAATAGAATCAAACAACTGAGATCACGCCATTGCCAACCCGCGGCGCTCGGATCATGGTATGGGGTGGGAAAAATAATCGTATTTCAGAGGTAATAATGGTATCCGCCGATAAAATAGGGTTCTTGGAGAAAATTCAAATTTTTGTATCATAAACTTTTCTTAATAACACAAATTAACAGAAATATTAGTACAATCTTAACTTTCAATCGAGACTTCCTCGAATAATGTTTTAATAATATAAATATTAAATAATCTCAAGTCTCAATCTGGACTTCTTTGAATAGAGTATTACCTCCGTCATCTTGAACATTTTTTAATAATATAAATATTGAATAATCTCAAGTCTCAATTTAGACATCCTCGAATATCACATCCGCTCCGTCATCTTCTTCGACTCGCTCTGCCATGCTTTCGGATTTCTTTGGCTTATCGTAGAGTGAGTCTTTGATCATCTTCGACAACATCTCTTTGGTAGGTCTGAAACCAACACAGCCACCGCTAGCCACGATATGCTGGATGGTAAACAGGGTACCTCGAACGGTGGATACGATGAGGCGATTTCTCAATTTCGTCTTTATGAGGTTGACTTTGGAGAACACTCTTTCGCTGTCGGCGTTTGAATGGAGAAGCGATAACACATTGAGAACGCAGCGACTCAAATTCTGAAACAAATGGACATCGCCATCGTTCTTCAGGGCCAACAGTTTCGCCCAGAATACATCAGTGTCCAGTCCCTTCATCTCGTTGTCAAGAGGGTAGCAGCAAAGCCGGCGCCACTCGTCATCAATGTCCTGGTAATTCTCTTTGGCACAAATTCTGGGGAGCGTGACTAGTAGAAGAATGAGAGAAGGCGTTTTCTCTCGTTCAGTGCTTGACAGCGCGTATTTGGGCTTGAAAATTCTCAGGTTCTCCAAAAAACTATTCTCAAAGTCATATCGCTTTCGTACCTCAAGACAGGCAGAGATAAAAAAGGCCTGAAATTTCTCTCGAAAATGTTTCAGTAGATCCGGGCGCTCCTGGATCTTCCTGCTCTGTTGCTCTTGTAGCACCTGTGCCCCCAGATACATCTCTTCAATTGGAAGATAATGGGATTTATCCTCAGAATCCACTCCTGATAATGAACGAGAATTCACGTAATTTCTCTTCATGAAACTATAAAGGAGGGTCTTATACAGATCAACCATGGCCTCATGAAGATCTGTGATTAAAACTTTGGCAGACTGAAAATATCTGTTGACTTCAGTGAATTTGGGGAGAACCCACTGCAGGAAGAACAAGAACAGTTTATTGAACGGATCATTCAAACTTTCGTGAATGGACTCTGCCGCCTTCAACTTGAGTGCTAACCACTGATCCTTGAAAAATAATAGCAGAGCAGGCCATTGACCGAGAATTCTGTCTACCACTGATACTAACGACAACCAACGTGTCTGGGATGGATGCAAGAGTTTGTGGATTTCAACGTTCGTAAACATCTGGAATTCCACGTACTCACTTTGCCTCTTACAACTGCTATTGAAAAAATTGTAGATATTGCGAGCTAAGCCTTCACAACTACGTGGTAATTGTTTACAAGCTTCGCTTGCACAAATATGCAGTGAGTGGTAAATGCACTTTAGGATCGTAATGTGTGGATAATCTCGCTTCAAACGACTAGCAACGGAGTTATGCACACCCATCATAACGCTGCAACCATCAGATCCAAAGCCTACGACATTTTCCATTGGAACCCCTCGCTCTGTGAAGCTTTTGATGATGTTGCTGTACAAGTGTTCTGCTGTTGCACTTGTTACCTTCCCAGGTTCCAAAACCTGTATCAAGTCCCAAAATTTCCATACAACCTTGCCTTCTCCTTCATCAAAATATCTCACAAGCAAACAACTGGTTTTAGTAGCCGAAATGTCTCTGGATTCGTCTGTCAAAATGCTGAATTTAGTGTTCTTCAGCTTCTCCGCAAGTATGCGCCTTTCCCTCTCGCCAATGAGATTTTTGACAATTGCCGTTCCCTTGGTTCGTTTCACAGCCATTTTTTGAGCAATTCTGGAATCAGGGAAACATTCTTTCAGCAGGTCTGACAGGTGATCCAATGCGTTGTAGGCAATTTTGTGATCGGCGCAGAATGCAGCAATTTTTATTTCCGCAGTGTCTAAGGGGTCCCCAGGGCCGTCTTCACGTTGAAGAAACTGAGTCATTTTTATGCTTGTGTTCTTCAGTGGTCTTTCCCTCTCTTTGTGTTTATCTGTTTTGGCATGTGTCTTCAATACAGATATATCAGCAGTGTATTCCTGAGAACAGAATTTACATCTGGCTTTGAGAGGATTAGCAGGAACACGCTGTAGCCAAGACTTGAACTCATTCATCTGCAGCCAATCATCTCGAAACTTCTGGGCGACTTTAGGTTTACTCCCTTGTTCGACTCTCGATTTCTTTTTTGGTGGTGTTCGACATGCATTATCTACGTCTTCCGTATTACCTGAAGCAAGTTTTTCGGTCAGTACTGCTGGAAATTCTAACCTTATATTGAAACCGTAAGTGCAGCTCAATGGGATTCATCGATATTTACCTGTGGTATTTACAGCAAGATTATAATCAAAATACGCAAACTTTTTTACAAATAGTTGTGATTCTTGTGGAACAATTTCAAAAGGTAGTGCCGGCACCTATCAAGCAGTTCTTGTGACGAGTTATGGAGGTCACACCGCTAGTGAATATCAGCTGTTGTGGCAAGAAAGCGAGATAGGCGAAGTAGGGGGCTCCCTGTGTTGTAACGAATTTTATGATTGGTGCAATTTTGGTCTCGCTGTACATGATTCGTCGGACATTCCATCGGACGAATTCCATTTTATCGACTGATGGTCCTTACGAGAGTCGCTGGTGCTCTTGGTGTCTCTGAATAGTGTCCGCTTTACCATTCTTAAACCTCAAATTTTTCATGAAATTCGATGTACCAATAATTCAAACGATGATCGATTATCACTTCTCCCAACAGGGTTTGAGTGTCAAACGGCATCAATAATGACAAGCGATAAGTTAAAACTCGTACTGGACAGAGACAGACGTTTTTTTTAAACCAACTTTTTTTATTGTCCTTGGAGATTCATTGAAAAAATTTCAGCTGTTGATAGAAGCCATATAATCAATGCAATTTTCAGGAAAGAAAAGCATTAAAATATTTAATAAAGTTATCCGAAGATAATGAATTTTTAGGACATTCCCTTCATTCCTCGCGTGAAAAATGGTATACCATGATACCATGACAGGCATCATGGTACGTGGTATCGGAGTCAGTTTCATGGTATAGATACCATGATAATGGTATGGTTGGCAACGCTGGTCGCGACGTGGACGCAGTGGTATATCGGCCTCAACGAAGAACCTAATACACCCCACATTAGAACACGATACTCGGGATAATTTTCGAAGATCATTTATTTAACACAGTCTGCCTTCTTCTCGAGTACACAAAACAACACTCCGTCTGCTCCCTGAGACACCCAACTCCGCTACACCTTCTAGTAGCAATGTATAAAATATAACCGTGTAATATAATGAAATATAATGTATAAAATATTCCTCTGCGAATTCCTGTCAACACCAAGACAATCACACAGGTACCCGCTACTCTTCTCGAATACACACGGTCTGTATCGATTGGATTTCGAGGTGGACCCACTGGTTTCTAACTTTGGAGTATTAATTCAATACTCCTTGTTATTTAAAAAATTGAACGTTTCATGTATAGATTTCATAGTTATAACTCCCTCTCTCTCCCTCTTTCGTCCTCTCTCTCCCTCTCTCCCTCTCTCTCCCTCTCTCTCCCCCCCTCTCTCTCTCTCCCTGTCTCTCTCTCTCACTCTCTCTCTCTCTCTCTCTCTC